CTGGCATTCAGACTGTAGCTACTGTGCACATGTGGCAAAGCGTACAGTTAGGGCCTTGTGTCACGATGCTATGTCTTTGTGTGCAAGGCACTCTTTGCTCATGTTGGTTGCTTTCTTCGTATCGTCTGCTGACGTTCGCTGCTGCTGTCGTCGTCTTTGGCCTTGTCATCGTTGTTTCAGTTGTTGAACGTTGACGCGTGTTCTTGTGTGGCCGCTGGTAGCTGTTTGATTCGCCTGTCGTTTTGCTTGTTTTCGACCGGATTGTCCTCCGCATCACACGCTGGGCAATGTGTGTTGCATTGTTGTTGATCTTGACCGTGAGTATACACATTCCGGTAAACCCCTAGTTAGACCTATCCCCCCCCCCCCCCCCCCCCCCCGGTGTTCAGTCTCCTCTTCTCGCAGGATATTTGCACTCTCGTGCATGTCTGGTGTTTAAGTTTTTTCTCCAAAATCTCTTTTACTAGACTCTTTTAAAAAGGATGTACAGCTCAAGCAACTGTGGATTGTTATCTAGCATGCTTCACTGGTGTTCCTTGTGGGTGTGTGTGTGTGTGTGTGTGTGTTTGTGTGGGTGGGTGGGGGGGGGGGGACGATTACGGTCACACGCGTTTTTCTTCTCCTTCTCAGACTCCTCCTGACTTTTCTTTCATTCTCCTAGGTGGTCACCAACAGCCAGCACATGCCGGAGTATGTGGTGTGATGTGTGCACGCCCGAAAAGGGGATGTGCGTGCATGCGTGCGTAGATCTATGGGCCCCCACAAGTGTGTCTGTGGGGACCAGTGGAGGTGTAGAGATGGCCCTTTGGCGTGAAACTCCGAATAACACCTACTGCTGAGTACTGGTGAACTTATGGTGAAAAAGGAGGACAAAATGTAATTGTTACGAGTTATGACTAACTGTCCACCAACGTAACCAGATCAAGTACAGTCAGCAATGAACTTGTTTGGTCCACAGTGTGCGATACTTCACATGTCAGATCAACATAATGTACAATGATTTAATAATAATAGTAGACCGGGGAGTGCTGAAACATTTTGTACACTCTGTAGTCATGTTGCTGTTCACGGTTGTTGTTGTTGTTAATACTTATTGACCTAGTACCTGTCTGTACTGTAGAGTACATCAGACTGTCCAACCTTGCCACCGTTCCAAGCGGCAGGACACCGATATAAAGTGTATACAAGGACACTCATAGACTGAGTCATAATAACTCGTAAATGTACACCGTGAGGTTTTGGTCCACAGCAGGACTAGTCGACTGTCGACATGTCTGTCCTGCTCCGTGCAGGGCGGTTGGACAGCCTGCTAACTGCTTAGGGCCGTTTCACACGAGGTACAAAATCGCGTACATGTCACGTTTCCGGTTATGTTCCCTTGGAGATGGAGCACTTTTGGCGCGAAATGTGAAACGCATCGTGTACGTTTTCAGCAAGACCAGGAGGGGTGTAGAAAGCAGGATATACCCAGCGTTCTACTGACAAACTTCGTTTTCCTTGCATTGTGATCTGTCGTCGTGTTTGCTTTTTTTGCTTCGGTTTGCTTTCATTGCTGGTTGCTGGTTGTGCCTTCCGTTTCGGACAATGCCTCGCCAAATATTCTCTGATGACCTGGAGGCTAGACTTATTGAGTTGTGGGCCGACTGTCAAAAGTCAAAAACTCATTGTTGCTTCTTTTTTCCCCTCTAGTTTTCTTTTACGGTATTATAATTTCACGGAGAAGGCGGAGAGCCCGAACGTGTGCAGTTCTATGGTTATTATTTGCCATGGCGACCCCCGTAAGTCCAAATAACTGGCAGGGCAGGGTTGGGCCTTTTTCTTTCTTCTCGGATATATTTTCATGACATGCTCACTGATGGTAAAACTCCCGCGTTCGCGTGCGGATTCCGTATTTTACGACTTCTGTGCGAGGCAGGTCAAAGCTGCCATGGCAACTGCTGCTTGAAAAGCATGTTGCGACACTCGTGTGAAATCACGCGCTGTGTACTGTGCCTAGAACGCCCATTCGTGAAAAGCCATGTATACCTCGTGTGAAACGGCCCTAAGTAATAGTACATAAACTGACTATAATAATAATGTACATGTGCGAAGTGTAGCATAACTGCCATAAGACACTAAGTAATAGTTGCATAACCATCCCCGCAGGTAGAATCTACACGTCTACGTGTAGATTCTACTACTACTACCATGTGTAGATCTACTACTACCACCATGTGTAGATCTACTACTACCACCATGTGTAGATCTACTACTACCACCATGTGTAGATCTACTACTACCACCATGTGTAGATCTACTACTACCACCATGTGTAGATCTACTACTACCACCATGTGTAGATCTACTACTACCACCATGTGTAGATCTACTAGTACTACTACCACCATGTGTAGATCTACTACTACCACCATGTGTAGATCTACTACTACCACCATGTGTAGATCTACTACTACCACCATGTGTAGATCTACTACTACCACCATTACATGTACATGTGTAGATCTACTACTACCACCATGTGTAGATCTACTACTACCACCATGTGTAGATCTACTACTACCACCATGTGTAGATCTACTACTACCACCATGTGTAGATCTACTACTACCACCATGTGTAGATCTACTACTACCACCATGTGTAGATCTACTACTACCACCATGTGTAGATTTACTACTACCACCATGTGTAGATCTACTACTACCACCATGTGTAGATCTACTACTACCACCATGTGTAGATCTACTACTACCACCATGTGTAGATCTACTACTACCACCATGTGTAGATCTACTACTACCACCATGTGTAGATCTACTACTACCACCATGTGTAGATCTACTACTACCACCATGTGTAGATCTACTACTACCACCATGTGTAGATCTACAGTACCATGGATATACATGTACCTGGTCTACACCTGACTGGAGCGACAGCCGGAGAGGTGAGGTACTCGTGCAGTTCGCATCGCTGTCGATGTCGTGCAGTGCAGTGTAGATCTACTTGCTTGTCGGATCCGCGGAGCTTATGTGCAGGACGGCCGGAAAGGCTCGAGTGGAACGACGAGAAAGTCACGGTGAAAAGTGTGCGCATTTCCTCGCACAGTAGCCTGTAGCTGGTCTGCAGTGCGTAGGTCTACGAGCATTCTAACCGAAGAGTTGGATACTGGCAAGAGGGCTCAGGCTTTGCTGTGCATGTGGTCGAGTGGAACACCTCTGCGGCTCGTGAGCTGAGGTTGTCTTCCGAGTCGCTACGGAATAGCTGCATACAGGAGTAGTACTACTATAATTATTAATACAGTCCTGTTGCTAGTGTCTGCTGAATATACACACCCTCGTCATGGCCAGCTCCCCATAGTCTATAGATCTACGGCGCATCCAGTTGTCTGCGGAGGAGACTCTCGGGCGACACCGGCATCACCGTTTCGGAAGACTCTGTGTTTCGACGGACGAAGCTGCAGCGCCGACAGTCGGTGTGACGCTGCGACGGTACACGCTGGCAACTCGTCACTCTCTACCATCTCAGGTTAGTTCAAAGTGCGGGTCCTCTTCACTCAGTAGACACAGAGTCGAGCGAGCTGTATTCCCGGTGCCGAAAGGCGGGCTCCCCACCCGTGACAATGGTGACCCCTGTGTGGCAACTTCCCCATGTCTAACCCCCAATGCAAGACGAAGTGAATACTGTAGTACCCATACTGGCCGAAGTTTAGAGTAAAAGAAAACGTTGTAAACACCTACTACGCGGACGTTCGTGGCTCCCTGTACGTGGTATGCCAGTGAAAATGCAACCAAAAAAATTTGTACAGTATCCGTCTTTCCGAAGTTGTGCAACATGAAATCCGACTTTAAGTCAGTCAGCTTTGACATGCATTACGACTGTCGCGTGCGTGTAGTCGGTCGTTCATTTGGTCGGATTTCATTGCTGCTACATATACGTGTGCATTTTACAGGGATATCTAAGCTGTGGTGTTATTCTAAACAACAAAGCGAGGGAGAAGACTCCACACTTGTAGCAACAAAACTTCAAGAAAACGGAGGTCCGAAGAAAGGCAATGCGTAACAGTTTCCGATTATGACGCCAGGGACCTGGGTTGTAGCCTTAAGCTGTGTTCACAACTGGCGCGTGGACGCGGTACGCTTGCGGTTCATGCGCGCCCAAACGCGCGCTCAGCCTTTCACAAAAAACAAAAAATCCGAGTCGTATTTAGCGCGTGCGACACCTTCGAGTACTAATTTTTTGACCCCGCCAGTCAAAGTGACTGGCATATACGCTGATACGCGCCTGATACGCGTCGAAAATTCCAACATGTTGGAAGTTCCATTTCGGCGCGTTTCCGTACGCATGGCGCCCCAAAAGCCAGCAAAAATACGCACAAACGCGTGGTTTCACGCGTACACGCGCCAGTTGTGAACACAGCTTTAGGTACGGGAAGGCCCAGTTGGCGGGACAGGAACACGCCATGTCACATGCATCCGCCAGCCTCCGGAAAACAAACTCGCGTTCACACCTGCTGTTTCGGCCAGCAAGGGAAGTCGGGCGTGAAATCGTTTGAACCACTGAAGTGAAGACAGTGAAGTCGGCACTCGTGCAGGGAAGTAGCAAGAAAATTCTGTTACGTGTAAACCTACATTGTACAACTCGAACCGGCACATAAACAAATAAATTATTGAAGTAATACATCTAGTACTAGTGCTAGCTAGCTATTCCCTGGCTCAAATAATTTCTGTCATTGGCGCTGGTGAGAAAGAAGAGTTCTGAAAATGTGTTTGCTCCGAACGTTCCCACGCTCACTTCCTAGTCTACACATTACATCTTACGATAGCGGCATTGCTCCTGAGCAGGTTCATAGTTGTTAAAATCTAGTATTGACCACTGGTTTTCTACCGGGAGTATGCGTGCCTGGTGTATTGGATAGCGTGTGTCGCATTATTGCCTCTATCGGTATTGTATGTGTGTGTGTCTCTCTTTCTCTGCCTCTCTTTCTCTCTCTCTCTCTCTCTCTCTCTCTCTCTCTCTCTCTCTCTCTCTCTCTCTCTCTCTCTCTCTCTCTCTCTCTCTCTCTCTCTCTCTCTCTCTCTCTCTCTCTCTCTCTCTCTCTCTCTCTCTCTCTCTCTCTCTCTCTCTCTCTCTCTCTCTCTCTCTCTCTCTCTCTCTCTCTCTCTCTCTCTCTCTCTCTCTCTCTCTCTCTCTCTCTCTCTCTCTCTCTCTCTCTCTCTCTCTCTCTCTCTCTCTCTCTCTCTCTCTCTCTCTCTCTCTCTCTCTCTCTCTCTCTCTCTCTCTCTCTCTCTCTCTCTCTCTCTCTCTCTCCCTCCCTCTCACACACACACACACACACACACACACACACACACGCACGCACACACACACACACACACAGACACACAGACACACACACACACACAGACACACACACACACACACACACACACACAAACACACACACAAACACACGCGCGCGCATCTGTATTATATATGCGCCTGCTCGTTATAAATAGACCAGTCCTTGTGTTGTCCCGCAA